GCGCCAAAAATAAGAGCTATGAAATTACAAAATAGAACGGTATCTCAGTGTGGTGGCACATGCTTTTAATCCTAACACTCAGGAGAGGCAGGAGCATTTCTGAGTTTGAGGTCAGTGTAGTCTACAGAATAAGCTCCAGGACAGCCAGAGCTACACAGAGAAACCCTGTCCAAGAAAAAAAAAAAAGTGGGTACTATCAATGAGTTAACTTTGATTCTCTAATCCACAGAATCATAAGAAATTTTGAAACATAAAACATTCTAGCAGAAAATATTAGGTTTTATTGAGATTTATGATATCTCTAAAGCATTTTGTTCATGCTCAAATCACAGACTAAGCCTGAGAAATTCTTTCAAAGACCACGTAGAACTGTTAAATACATAGCTTCTTGAAACTCAAGGCCTGAATTTTTAAAGGGATGTGTAACTTACAAACATAACGTTTGGACGATCCTACTCGTTTCTAGGGTACCGATTTATTGGCAGATGGAGCCTGCCTACTCAACAGAAAACCTGAGAAGAATCTGGAGCAATGCTGGGTTAAAGGAGGAGCGATCCCCTCTCCATCCCTGCAGTGAGCCGCATGATGAACAAGCCGGCACACCTTGTCCAGTGCACAGGAAGACTAGAAACCCCCATGCTGCAGATATACTAGCTGCTAAAACCTGCTGCTTAGGTGAATTCAGAACAAAACATCATCTCCTTCCACCATCCGCCCACAAGAAAGCCGCATCAAAGTGAGGTAACATTATTTTGTTGTACATAATCATCTTTGGGGCTTTCTCCTGACCCACCCAAGTCCTAAAGGAATTTTCCAAGTTAAAATAATTTTTAAAAATCAATTAAAAAGGAGTAAAACACTCATTTTACATAAAGTAACCAGGTGTAGGTAGATAGATCACAAAGCTTTACTAGGAATGACTCACACTTTAGAACTTTGTGGCTTTTGTACTATATCAGATTTTTAGATCTTTCCTTTGTGAAATGACGGTAATATCTACCCAACAATTGAGAAGTTTAAATAATATCGTAAGGCCTGAAGTCCCTTTCTTTCTTGACACAAAGTAGCTCCTGGTAACCTTGGCAAGCATCTCTCTCTTTGTACACACCTGTGGACACATCTGTGGCGGCACGGAAAGCTACTAGCTTTAAACGAGGGATCTTGAGCTCTTTTTGTTTTACTTTTATTTGAAAAGACGTTTGACCCTTTTGAGCAGAAATTGACTATTTTTCAATTAACACAGATCTTAGTTTTCTCCTATAAGTAAAATGTATGTAGAAATGTACAATTTAAGGTAAAAATTTTAAGTGCGACATACTTATTAGCAATGGACATAGATGCATAAAAGCCACAGCCATGCATGACACCCAGTTTCTACAAATATTGTCTTCAGAAAGGCAAAGAAGCATAGTGTTGACTTATGCCAGGCTTATTAGAAGTGTTTCGTTCACTTGGGTTCTTCATTGCATACTTATTGGAAATGTCTGATAAGAGAGCAAAGTGTGGACACATAGGTGACAGATGAGCTCAGTAGTATTAAACTAGGACGCTTCATTTTACATTTAAAATCTTGCTCTAATTGATCCATTTTCACCTTGGTTCTAGGTAATACAGTAGTTCTCATTATCTATAGAATCCAATATTGTGCATGTGCCCCAGACCTGACCACTGTTAATTGCTGTAGATATCTAGAAAGTCACTCTTGGAAAAAACACAGTGTGGGTCCTATCGTGTTTTAAATAACAATCAATATTTTTACAGTGCTGGTAATCTTTTCCTGTTTGATAATGGTGTAGAAGACAAAGGGAGATAGATGGATTGTCCCACGCCCCTGATGGGATTCACATCAAGCATCTGCTTCAAGTCACGTGACACCCCATCCAAATGCACAGATACATATGCATAAAATTATGCGCTTATCAGAGGAAAATAATTTTCAAAATCTAATTTATTCACTTACTCAGACCGTAAACCAAAAGAGGGATCAAACATAGCAAGGAAAAGAGGACCTGTATACCAGGCAATAACAGGTTTCATTTCCTACCAGAAGGAGAAAGAACGCACACAAAGCCCACAGAGAGAATGAAGCCAATTCATTCTGATCCTGGAGCGACTCTTTGAAGCTTCCTTTTAACCTGGTCTCTTACATTTCCAGATGCCATGAAAGGTGATGTATGCAGGAGGCAGCACTTATGGGACTGGGGGGATTTCGTTTTCCCCACTGGGGTAAAGATTTGGATCTTACTTTTTCGGAGAGCGTCTTTAAAGAACTCTTCAGGCTGTCTGGAGAGCGCCTGCTGGCAGAGCTGAGCAGCAGGTCGGCGTGGGTTGCTATGAGAGGCTGCAGCTGACTGATGTGGCTGAGCACCTCCTTCGCCTTGGCTGTGTTTTCAGGTGAATAGTAAATAAACTGGTAGCCGGTGCTGCAACAACAAGGACAGTGGTCAGGGGTCAGACGAAGCACAGACGGCATCAGCCGCTCTTAACATCTGATGAGCCGGCCCCAATTAGCCCAATTCATTCTTCTTACGAAAGAACAGAGTTAACAAGTTTACAACATGCTGAGACTTTACATAAATTTAAGGCTAGATGATGTAAAGCCAGCCTGATCGAGCAAAGGAAAGATTTAATGTGATTCCATATGTCAAGAATTACTATAAAATGACTGGCAACATAAATGACTAAGGAATATCAAGCCAAATCGTAGACTCTCAACCCCCACAATCAACTCCATCACACTATAAATACTGGCTTGCAGCTCACTGGGCTGCCAGCCTCTTCGGCAGCTTTTACATCCTCACTAGGGAAGAGGACCAGTTACCGAAGCGAATCCATAAAATGGTTCAATTTAGAGACATTCACATGCATAGAATAAAACAGTGCTTCGGAGGAAGGAAGCATCCAATAGATCTCCTATATTTTTCACTATGACATTGACAAGCACAGGACAGGAACAAATGCCATGAACTCAAAAATGGTGAGAAAATAAAATCAACTCCAAGTGGCCAAATAGGCCATTCTATTTTAAAGAGAAAAAAATTGAATCTAAAGCTCCATTATCTCCATAGTTGTTCTTAAAATCTAGCTTAAAAACCAAAAACTGGTTATTAATTAGGAATCTTTGACTTTCATAATCAGTACGTAGGAAATGCTGGGGGGCTTGTGGGAAGAGGGATTCTGTGCAGCGAAGGAGCTGAGAGCACAGAGCCCTATTTGCTTCCCAGGATGGACAGTGAGCAAAGTCAAGCTGGTGGCTTTCATAGGTTTTCATATGAGGCATTCATAGGTTTGGTGCAAACTTTTTCTGTCCTTTGTAGCCAATATCCAAACGCCTTGCCTTTAAAATGCATGGGAGTCTGTTTTGAGGACTTGTGAAATATTTTCCTTACAGTTACTAGCTAAATTATTTAAATCCCCTCGATTCCATTTTCATTTTTGAAAACTTAGAAATCACTGAGAAAAACATACTATTTAGAAAGCAGTTTTTCTCTCTCTTTTCTGGGTTCTTCAAAAAATTACTTAAAACTTTAATATCATATTTTACCAAAATAAATTTACCTAATGTACATACTTTTTACAAAGCAATTATGAGCAATGCTCTTGTATGTTTGAACCGACCACATGAGAGCACAGGAAAGTGACGGCAGACACAGTTTTGGGAACCTAAGAGGTACACTGTAGTCTGCACAGCCCGGGGTTCATTCTGCTTCCTTTGACTGTATTGCCTGGGAGGAACGCTGCAATATTCAACCCACCAGCCTTTGAGAAATGAAACAACTCCACATTTCTTTTGCAAAGAAAACAGTTGTGCAAAGATGAGACATGAAAATGGGGGGACAGTTCTTGTTATGAGACAGCGGAGGTTAGAGGGCTCAGGACTCACTACATGCCACGCACAAAAAACAGTGTAGAGTGGGTTCACGGTGGCCCTCTTCACTGACCTACTTTCCTGCTCCAAATGTCTGCTTCCTGATCTTATGGGGACTGACAAGCTCCCCAACGGCTGAGTCCTCAGAAAGCTAAAGTGCCCAAGGCCAGATGCTCCTCCATTTTTCTGCTCACGATTTCTTTCCCAACACATCAGTTCTGACACCCTTGTTCTTCCTTTCATCCCGTGGCTGCGATGGCTGCCTCTCCCACCCCTTTACTTTGCTGGCACTGCATATGATGTTGCTTGTAGATATCATCCACTTTCCCTTCATTCGTTCCTCATTTTGTGCTCAGAAAATTCTTAGAATTCTCCACCTGATTGTAACATATATCTTTCTAAGAAATCATTCTAAATACTTTTTTTCTTATGTCTCAGATGCATGGAGCTCAAATGATAGCAGCCATAAGTGCACTGACAAATAAGGACAGGGCTTCAGTATTTTTTTTTAAGGATATAAAATTTCTTTGCAGTGTTGACAGACTTTGCTTCAGGGACTCTGCACTGTAATATACCCTTGGGAGGTTTTGACACGAGTGAATGACTGTATCACTAGAGACACCCACTGTCCTTGATTTGCCTCTGAGATCCCCTGGAAATGCTGGATCGTGCTTCACAGTGAGTCTGGTGAAAACCCCACTTAGGTTACTCTCAATTTCTTACTATTGTTTTACCAGGTGACTCCTCCTGTCGCCCTCTGTGTTCTACCTAAGATCCTCTGGCTCCCTTCCCATTGCCGCTGTTCTTCTTACATTCCCAGGGCCCTTTTATCTTTTCCCTCTCAATGACTTCATCCTCTCCCCCTGAGACTGTTCAGTCAAGCCTGGGACATAACCCAGGATCGGGCCTCCTGTGGCCCAGTCATGTCTCCCCCGAAGCCGCTATGCAGCAGCCTTGGTTATTCTTATGTCCTTTCTTAGTGATGGGCATCTTGGTAGGGCTGGAAGATGCATCTCCCACAATGTAGGTCAGTACTGCTGTCCAAGATGGCACAGCACGGCATGGAGAAATTACCAGCCAAAACCTAGTGTGAGTATGCACCTACGGGAGGCCTTCTTCCTGAAACCTCTCATATATTTAATAGTTGTGGCTTTTAAATGAGAAGTTATGAATACAATTTTATTATATAGAAAAAATTAACTGTTTTCTAGTGGTCTGAGATTTAGGATGAATCCAAACACTTGAGTCAACTGTCAATGACATAAAATCAGAAGAAGAAAAATTTTATAGAATATAAAAGCAAATTATGGATGATAGAAATTGAATTTGGTTTCTTATTATATTTGTAATGAATAAAAATGATTTAAAGTATACACTTAGATGTTACACAAAGCTCAATACAATGAGAGAATGAACACACGCCCTCTTCTGTATGTCATGGATCTTAGTCTCCTGGTCTCGCTCACATCCTCATCTTCACGTGACAGCAAGTCACAAGTCTCAGTCCTTGGAGCTCTGGCTTTGAGAAATCATTTGACATTCCTGAGCATTTACTCTCATGGTTTAAATGTGTCCGCCATGTAAAGGGGTCCTCAATGTGCGTCACTAGCTCTAACTCCAATTGGAACACATCTTCTTTGGGAAGTTCCAACTTAATATGCCCAGAGAAGATTCCAGGCAGCTCCCAATAGTCAACAATCAGGGTGGCTGCATGCCTCTTCACTTTTCTTCCTAACAAGGTCACTAGCTTCTTTTCCTCCCCTACCTTTATCAGAAAAGCTGCTCCTTTCCTTTAAAATAAACTAAGAATCCAGTCACTTGCTTCATCCTGGTGCAAGTGGCTATCATATCTAACACACACACACACACACACACACACACACACACACACACACACACACAGAGAGAGAGAGAGAGAGAGAGAGAGAGAGAGAGAGAGAGAGAGAGAGACTTTATCTCAACTCAGGTGTATATATTCCAGGGCTTACCTGTAATATCTGCTCTACCCTCCCCGCAACTACTTAACCCATTGCTCAGCCACACTACGACTGCAGGCAATGGAGGTATGGAACAATCTAGGTAAGAAATGAAGACAGGCAAGAAAGAAAGAAGAAAAAACACAGGGAGGAATGGCAGAAGTCAGAGGTTGATTTTTTTTTTAAAGTGTTCTACAGTAGTAAATCTGTAAGGGAGTTAAGACCCCAAAGGGAAATTTCAGGAAGATTTTTTTACTTACTTCTCCCCAGTTCATACAAGTGTGTGTGTGTGTATTTGTATGTGTATTTGTGTGTGTGTGTCTATGTGTCTATGTGTGTGTCTCTATGTGTGTGTGTGTGTTTGGATGTGTGTCTGTGTACGTGTCTGTGTGTGTATATATATGTATTTCTCTGTGTCTGTGTGTCTCTGTGTGTCTCTGTGTGTCTGTGTCTTTGTGTGTGTGTGTGTGTGTGTGTGTGTGTGTGTGTGTCTTGGATCGATACAGAAGCACAGACATGCTCTTAGTTCTCACTGAGAAGGAAACCATGTGACTAGCCCATAAGAATTCCCAACTCAGTCACTTGACTCTACCCTTCTGGCTTCACAGGGCTTCTCAACATGCTTCCTGAAATGGCTGCAGGTGCAACCGCACCTCTTGGCTTCCCCCTTGGCTGCTCTTTATTTCCTGTAGGATGTGGTGCTTAGAGAAAAGAACTAGAAAAAAAAAACAACACTCGCCTTCTTTATCTCCTATGGGTTCACTTATGTAATTAAATGATTTCCGAGATCTGCGCTGAAATTGGTCTGTTTTTCAAGCTAGTCTTCTTGGGGAAAATCAAAAACCAAAACCAAAAACCCAAACCTTGCACCCATGGAAACTTTTGGCCTAAGTTTGAGTCCACCACTTATTCCCTCTCTGCTGACTGACACAGATGGAGGAGACGAAACAATGAAACGGTGTCAGCTCCTCTAGCCTTCCCACTGTGGATACATCTGTCACTTCGGTGGTGTCTCTTACTAACAGTTGTAATTCTTAAGTTCTTGACTGTGATCTCTTAGTCATGATGGCCTCTTTCATATACAAGTAAACGTAATAGGCTATCTTTACAATATGCAAATTGTATTTTGATAAGTCTCTTCTTTAAAAACAAATGTTCCGGCACACTGTCTTAGTGGCTGGACCATCCCCTTGTAGTCCTGATTTTTTTGTTCATATTCTCCCTCTTTCTGCCCTTCAACTGGACCTTGGGAGCTCAGCCCAGTGCTCCTATGTGGGTCTCTGTCTCTATCTCCATCCGTTGCTGGACGAAGGTTCTATGGTGATATTCAAGATAGTCATCATTCTGACTATGGGACAAGGCCAGTTCAGACACCCTCTCCTCCACTGCCCAGGGACCTAGCTAGGGACCCCTGGGAACCCCTCTAGACCCAAGCCTCTTGCCAACCCCAAAATGGTTCCCTTAATTAAGATATCTCCTTCCCTGCTCCCATATCCTTCCTTTCTCCATCTCAACCATCCCACTCCCCCAAGCTCTCCCCAACCCTCACCTTCTCCCTTATCTCTCCTCCCTCCCCTTC